CGTGATTTGTAAATCAGCTTGAAAAAGACTTGAACCATTTTAAAATGATTTTTTAAAAAAAAAATTTGATGTTAAACACACTACCTTACAGTACACAAAAAAATAAAACCCACCAAGAAACACTTTTACATTGAACATTTTCAGTCTTCAAGGTTCACAATTTTAACCCCAATTTTGATCACATTATTTGATGTGGACTAGGAATATTGCTTTACATATCACCAATATGGTATATAATTTCTCTGGGAACATCTTTATATGTATCTTGGCAATGAATTATGTATTATATATATCAAGATAGCATTTATATAGAAATAAGAATTAGATTTAGTATTAGAAATAAACATGGCTCAGACATCCAAGGAAGGTAATTTGAACATCATAGAGCGGTGCTGCCCATCTGTGGAAACCGCGAATGATGGAAAAAAGTTTCATCATTGCCATGTTCATTCAAACAAAAGGAAGGAGAAACAGGTCTGTTGGTGTGCACCAATAACAAAAACAAATCTGATGACCATAAAAAACCTAAGCACAGTGAAAACCAATTTACCAGCAGTAGTATTCAGTTAAATTTATATCTACAGCTTGAATACCCATCTGGAGTGTGGAGTGTGATACAATAATCATGTACAAGAATTTCAGATTGGAACAAAAATACTATACCAGGCAAGTTTGTGCTTTTTCATTTACATATTAACTGCAATTTCATCATACTTCGCTACTTGCAAATATAGTGTATACAAGGTACTATTTACCATATGCCAACTTACTTAACAATTTTCATTGGTGATAAAGACCATCTCCTAATGGTTTAAATGATATTGACCCCTTCCTAAAGGACATCATGTAGTCATTACTGATGTCTGGCTTGTCATCAGTACACAGAAAGCTTTTCATGTTGCACTTACTGCAATCAATTGTCCCTATCTGTGTTAATCATCATCAACAACCAAGACATCAATCTTAATGCTGGTTTACATATACAAGGTTTTTTTAGTACTGCAAGAGAAGGTACATTTGAACTTGCCAAATATTGTACTGGTCAGTTGGTAATAATTATGGGAATTTTATTAAGCTATATTTTCTGTAAATAGAGGTAACATGAAACTAATGACCATGTTAAGTTTTAATGGTGAATGAAAATCTCAATTATTATAGCATGCCTGTAATCTTTATACAAGAGCACCAATTATAGATATGCTTATTTAATACCCATGAATTCATCTAACGCAGGGCAACTGAACTATTAGTCCTATGAAATTCATCCTCAATACTCCAGGGGTAATTATAACTATCGCTCCCTGCACCCCTGGAATATGTAATGGCAAAACTGAAGGTACGAGCGAAGTTATTTTATTGGTTCCAAGTGACAAAAACTGACCAACCAAATGCTGATATAATTAATATGCTGCAGAACATACTTTGTATTTCATGCAGTGATAACCCAGGGAACTTGCATCAACGTTGTTGTTATATATATCTCGATACGAGGGCAGAATAAACCCATTGGTACAATGTTTATATAAACAAACTTGCCTCATCACTTATGGTCATCTGCTAAAAGACCGTAATGGTGAATTTTAAACCTGTTAAATCACTCCTGTACTAAGGCACTGGTACATATTATTGGATTCATTACAAAGATCAGTAACTCAAGTGTTAGCATCATCAGTTTCAGTGGCCTGGACACTGATTTGGCAAACATTTCATCATTTCTTTGTAAATGAATTGCATACCAGGGGACAAGTTTCAAAATTAAAAACAGCGATTGAAAATGTGGAGGCAATCTAGATCTAGAAACACTAAATGCATGTTAATGAAAAGGAAGATTATGGATTAGCTCTTAACCTGGAAATAAACTTGAATCCATAGTTTCTCACCAAGCCAAAGTTAAATAGTTCAATTGTGATCAAAAACAGATTATTCAAAATATACTGGACCAATCATGATTATCTGTATTGTCCCATGGTTCAAGGGACATTCATCGTTTATGCTATTGCAATCTCCCAAGTTTTACCTATCACGAAGTATTTCCCCTTTCATTCTTACAAGTTGATTCATAAATGGAATTCTATTTAGGAAGCCAACTTTACTAAACAGGGAGCTTTAATCCAGAAGCCTACTTTACACTAGGAGTTTTATTCAGAAAGCTTATTTGCATAACAGGAAGTTTCATTGTAAAAAACTTACTTACACAACATGGAGTTTTATTCAAGTATAGCATGAAAAAGAAACTCCAGAATTGATGAATGGATTTACTATTAATTTCAAAATATTTGTGAACAATCATCATTTTTTCTTTATAGAAAGACATGGCTCAGACATCCAAGGAAGGTAATTTGAACATCATAGAGCGGTGCTGCCCATCTGTGGAAACCGCGAATGATGGAAAAAAAGTTTCATCACTGCCATGTTGATATTGATGATGTGAAAAGTGTAATTGCCATTACAATAAGACAAAATACTGCAGCATTCAATACGGTGTTTTAAACTATAACAAGACATTTTAAAAGCATTTGTATCTTCTTAGAAAATAAACAATTCTAAGTATTTTCCATAGAAATGCACATGTATTAATCATTTGTCACATCTAAAAACAAAAATAAGTCACAGCCATACATCATGATTTTCCATTACACCATTATAGAACAGAGAACACCTCAAAATTACTTGTCACTGATAAAAAACAATATTTTCTTTCAATATGCAGTTGGATAGAAAAGACCTGCATATGAGTGGTTCAGTCCAAGGAAGGTATGCAACCATCAAGGAGTTACAAAGAACTCTATGGAGCAAAGACACATGCTTGTTCATCATTTCCACTCATTCTAGCATCAACAAGTATTTAGAGAACTTGATGGAGCACAGATACAAACCTCATTAATACCATTTGCCTTAAACACCATCCAAGTCTTAATGAAAACTATACAGAGCAAAGAAACAATCATTAACATTCCTCCTGATGACAAAACGCAGACCTCTATGGAACAAAGACAGCATGGCAAGGTTCAGTAATTGATCACAGTCACATCAACGTGTGCTAGTCTGCTACTTAATGAAGCCATGGTCAAAAGTGTATACAACACTAATTTTGCAATCTCAGTGTAGTGTATTTGAAATAATCTAGTCGTGACACTACTATTTAGTGATGGCTCAGTCCAAGGAAGGTTTGCAACCATCAAGGAGTTACAAGAACTCTATGGAGCAAAGACACATGTTTCATCATTACCACTCACTTTACAATAAACTAGTGACAGAACTATGTGGCAAGGGCAAGACTGAACATTAAAACACCTTGGCATCAAAGACAAAAGCTCCAGTATATTCCTTATGCATGATGTGTTACATTTATTTTTCTTTTGATATATATCTAAACTGCTTGGAGTGTGAAACAAATGTATCCAATATGGGAGTTTGTATGAATCATTTGGTCATGTATCAGTTATATATATTTAGAAGCGACTCTTTTCAAGGACAGTTGGAAATTACAAAAAAATTTACATTTTGAAAGATAAAGAGAACATCATTAAGACTTGCTAGTGGATCAGAACTAGTTGAGTACTTAACTAGGAAACAAGCCTCAATCATAAACTTATCAGAGAGGGCAAGTTCAATCATCATCTCCACTGGTATTATAAAACTCCACAGAAATAGTTTTGTATTGACCTCGAAGTCAATGTTTTCAATAATTACACAATTTTGTAAACAAGCTACAACCATCATTAAAGACAGGGAACAAGCAAGACTTTAGTTACTAAAGAATCCTTATGTCGATCAACCGAGTTACATTACCAGTACAACATCATGCTCACCTCAAGTATAGCAAGGAAAAGAACTGTCAATCAAGATTCAAGAATTTACTATAACTTTCAATGCATTTGTGAACAATCATCAGTTCATATTTATAGAAGACATGGGTCCATCATCCAAGGAAGGTAATTTGAATATCATGGATAGGTGCTGCCAGTCTGTGGAATCCATGAATGATGGGAAAGTTGGAAATTGCAGAAAAAATAAATTATTTTGAAAGATAAAGAGAACATCACAAGACTGCTTGTGGATCAGAACTAGTTGAGTACTTAACTAGGAAACAAACCTCTATCATAAACTTCTCAGAGAGGGCAAGTTCAATCATCATCTCCACTGGTATTATAAAACTCCTCGGAAACAGTTTTGTGTTGACCTCGAAGTCAATGTTTTCAATAATTACACAATTTTGTAAACAAGCTACAACCATCATTAAAGACAGGGAACAAGCAAGACTTGCCAAAGAATCCTTATGTCGATCAACCGAGTTATATTTACCAGTATTACATCATGCTCACCTCAAGTATAACAAGGAAAAGAACTGTCAATCAAGATTTAAGAATGAATTTACTATAACTTTCAATGCAATTGTGAATAATCATCATTTTATCTTTATAGAAAGACAAAGACATGGCTCAGACATCCAAGGAAGGTAATTTGAACATCATAGAGCGGTGCTGCCCATCTGTGGAAACCGCGAATGATGGAAAAACAGTTTCATCATTGCCATGTTTGTATTGATGATTTGAAAAGTATAATCACCATGATGATTAGACACAAAATACTGTAGCATTCAATACAGAGTATTAAACTAGAAGACATTTTAAAAGCATTGTATCTTATTGGAAAATAAATAATACTAAGTAGTTTGTTTAGAGAATGCACATGTATTAATCATTTGTCGCCCATCATCTAATTAAAACAAGTCGCATCCAAACGTCATGATTATCTACACCTTGAAATTACTTCTCATTGATAAACACAAAATCTAAATTCTAACTGCAAACAAGCTGCAAAATGTATAATCTTTATATTAAAAAGAGAATTTCATGAACACTTTATTACAACATGAATGAGATTACAAAATAATTCCATAAATTCACAAAGTTGGAAGGACCATTTTCAAAGCATAATACCATGCTACTAAACGACCGAATCTTCTATTGCCATGAATAAATTAATGGTTAAATGCAAAGGTGAATCAGATAGGAGCGAAAGACTATAGCTTGTATTTTCATATTGTAATCATATGAACTACGATATCATCATACTTCACCACTTGCATTAACCGGTCATTTCCCTACTCCATATTAAATTTTGAAAGTATATAAACATACAGTTGGTTTCATTTGAAAGAAAATGCTCTATATCTTAATTAAATCAATACAGCTTCTGTAATAAAAGTTACAAGTGCTTGATGTATATTTTTGATATGAGCAGGTACCAATCCTACTACATTCCTAATTAAACACAGTAGCAATGCTAAAAGATCAATACAGTGCATTTTCAAAACATTTGGTTCCTAACCTTGACTTCAGGATAATCAAAGATACTTCATAAAAACCAACGGAACAAACTTAATTGTGATTTCCTTAACCAACATCCTTGTCCAGGTTATCTCCTTCGGCTGCTTATTTACCAAGAGAACAGAATGCACAGCTGTCAACATTTACAATAACATGACATCATATGGATTCACCCTCTTGTCAAGTCTACTGGACATCTTTCTCAATTTTCAGTTGATGATTGTCATCCTTTCCAGGCACTATTTGATGCCCCAATGTCTGAAGTTCCTGAATACCCTTTCCTTTTTACAATTTCTACTTTGGATGCGACCTTCACACGACATTGAGGAAGTGAATTTGTTGGGAAACAAAATTTCACGAGTGAGTCACCATTTCTTAACATGTTTGTCCTTCAGACCTAGTGGGCCAATCGCCAATGCAGGAAAATGGCATAGTACATTCATATCATCATGTAATATCTTCCTCTATATATACATTTTGAAGAATCTAGCACAAGATGCTCATTTACTGACAAAACCATCCACCATGGATGTATTGAATTTAACAATGTTTCCTGCGAGGCACCAGAAATCTTGGGATCATTTCAAAGCAAAAACAAGTTTATTTAGCCTTACTAACTTCTTCAAACCTTACAGTTCGCATTTTCTAAGCAATTCCATCGGTTTTTTTTCTCTCTTTCTGTTTCAACTTAGAAATTCATTTGTGCCACCATTACCAGCTAGACTAATTACAGCCTGGAATTGCCCAGTATTAACCGACACAGTCTGGCACTGCCCAATAAGACAAAAGCAGGCAGTGTCAGGCTGTCTGATACAGACAAGGGACTTGCTTGAGACAGCACTTTCCATCTTTTGCAAGAAAATCCCGTGATTAGAAATATTCAAGGATAGAATTGAAATGAGAGCTCCTGAAGAATTATTTTCAATCCTTGGTCAGAAAATTTCTTCTACACAGACATTCGGTGAGAGAGTTCAAAATTTTCATCATACCAAGGTTGGTCAGGAAAAAAATTAGGATGTCAGCATTGGCAAGTGTTAACAGGTTTTCATAGATAAATATTAAAAAGCCCTAAAAGTAGTTTTAAAAACATTGAAGTCAATTGTTATTTAAGTCTGTTTTGAGGTGAAAATATTGAATCCATTCATGGGTGCCGGTTTCATAACTTTATTGTAGAGGCAATATCAGAAAAGAAATCAACATGATTGTTCAGAGAGATTCCCATTTTCTTTTGTTCATCATCATTTATCACCTCATCATTAATCTCAAGTTACAGACAACTATGAGGAAGGACACAAGCTAATAAAACTTTATATATATTATACCATTGTATGATATTTGAAGGTTAGAAATATCTGTTGTATGCATTAAAACTAATCAAATGAAATCTGAAATTGTTTTAATGCCTTTGGCAGATTTTTATCAATGTCTAAAATATCTAGGATTTAACTTTCTTTATCTTTAGGGATTACCTACAATCAACCAAAATTAACCAATTCACTTTGATCTGGATATACGAACAGGTTAATGCTGATTGGTGAATCAGATAGGAGCGAAAGACTATAGCTTGTATTTTCATATGTAATCATATGAACTACGATATCATCATACTTCACCAATTGCATCAACCAGTCATTGCTCATCATAATCTATTACCCTAAATTTATTAGAAATGAAATAAAATTTGCTTATACTTCATTGTGAAGTTACCAGCCACATACTCCTTACAGATTATATTCATTACTTGTTTATTCATATATCAGAAGTGTGAAATCACCCCAATGCATTATCTATTATGAAGTTTCTGGGGATCGTTTTCTTGTCTAGATATCCAACTTACAGTTTACATGACAAAATGTCAAAAGACCATCTTCACTATTAATTTATATCTTCATGCAAGTTTAATAATCGTTATTTCATCAAAGCCGTTTGGAAATTTTACATATAAATGGTTGTAATCCCTTTTTATCTGAATAGCTTGCGATATCTAGTGCCCATTTTCTTTCAGTACATGATAAAAGATGGAAATGTTATCCAGTCATTTACTCATCATTTAATCAGCCACTGATTTTGATTCAACTTGTATTTGAATTCCTTTTTCTTCAATTCTACTAGAGGGGTTTAATATTCACTACCCAATGTTAACTCTCAAACTTACATATTCATTCAATTTTGTATACTGATGTAATATTCTCTTAACAGCTTATGTATTTCTCTATGTAAATTGTTTATTTGTTCACCCAATACTGCATTTACACTATTGTAATTTTATACATGAATTCCCTAGTCCAGAAAGACATGCCTCAGTGAAGTGATTGTCGTCATCCACACGTCAAGAGTAGCAAATATATTTTAACATCATTGGCATGGCCATCCGACAGAATCCGAACAAAGGCCTAACTTGTTTGCCCAGCCACCGATTCAGATATCAATCTATATTGAAGTCGGTGTTTAAACGCTTTCACTTACTGGTTTGAAAAAAATATTAACCAAAATTGTTAATCATACGAATAAAATATAACCTCGTGCATATGGTAGGGATTTAAAATCGAAACCTTGAAACTCGCGAAGTAAATGATACTTTGCATGATCTGTCGTCTAATACAACCCACGTGGTTACCAGCCACCCATCAATGTGTCCCGTTTTTTAACAATAATAACGTTTCGTTATTGTACTGATTAGTGTCTGGAAATACCTAGTATCGACCAATTCCAAATATTCACGAAACACTTACAGCTAAACCTCGTTAACATTTTAACAAAATTGGTGTGTCTCATTTACCGTCCGTCCTGGTGTGCGTCCTTGGAAGAAATGAACGAATAGCGAACCGGAATGGAGCACGTGTTCAATATCAATTTCCGTTTTTTGAAACGCTCGTTTTCATTGGTCAATGTATATTTACACCTAACTTAATATTACAAAAATGCGATTAAAAAAATAATATTTATCATTTATCTTAATGACTTCAAACAAAACACACATGTTGAACATTTAATATATAAATAACTTTTTATTTGTAAAGAAAAAAATTGGCCAATCGCATACATGGTAACAAAATGTCGTTCTTAATAATTTCCTCTCCTTCTGTGAAAAAAATGACAATATTTATGGTGAAATCTTGAATGGAAACAGAATTTGAACTAGGCTTATTGTATTCGAACTCATAACATTTTCATTCGTAAGAAGCAATTTTTACTTTCAGGATTTTTCCGAATGACGTAGACAATCCTACGTACTACGTGGCCTTGACAAATGAATGACAGAAACGTCACACGTTGTCCAATCAGCTTCCTCCTGATCGCAGTACATCGACCAATCACAGTCGGACACGATTGGGAACACGGGAAACGATATAACGCACACGAGTCCACCATACGGCACAATCTGTCAGAAACACAAAACTAAGGGAGGGACAGTTTTACAGAAGCTGCAATCAGTGAATAATAAGTGAAGAAGTTGAACAAGATATACAAGAATCAAGTGAGTATACATTTCGTCATATATTAAACGTAGTTTCAGTGTAAAATGTTACCGGTCTACCAGTAAAGTAAGTATTCACGTGTTGTGACTGAGTTTCTTAATTCCCATAACGTCATGTACCACGTAGTACCGGCACTAGGAAGTGAACCCACGTTTAATGGTTACGCGTTATAATTATCTTCTACTTGTATTATAAGTTTATTCATGATCATAGTATTCGATAGGTTCTATTGGAACGTTTTCGAAAAGTTATTTTGAGAGTTCAGCAACTATTGCACTTCTTACCCCACCCACCCCAACTGTCATTGAGGCAATGCCGTATATAATAGGAGTAATATTTTAAGTTTCTGGTTCGTGTTGTAATAGAATATGTACTTAGGTACAGTATATAAGTATTCTAGCATATATTAAGGTATTTTATCCGGGCACATATAGAGCATATTTTTTTTTGTTTTTCCATGATATAGAAATACTAGATGAAGTCGATCAAAAAACAAGACCTGCACTTTCAAACGTTTTTGATAAATATCCAAGAAAAGATCGGGAACACTTTCAGAAAGTGAAGACTGTCTTGGGAATTCCTTTAGTAGCCTACACCAAGTTCAACAGTAAATTAGTGTGGATGATTGAATACATATAGAAGCTAGGTCTAGATATATAGAATTTGTAGACAAATATTGATTTATGTACTCTAAGAAAGTAGATATTTGATGATTTGCTTTGTCTTTTATAGGATGAAAGTGTTTGTGCCAATTTGTTTGGCGGTGCTGTTGGTTGTCGTCCAGGGGAAAGATGATGATGACAAGAAGAAAGACAGTGTCGGAACAGTGATTGGAATTGATCTGGGAACTACATACTCCTGGTAAGTTTAGATATTGAGTAAAGAACATTTTAAATGTACTTTTAGTCACTTGAATCAGTATTATAGAATGCAAGACAAAACCTTCAAGTTTTACAATAATGGCAAGATTGATATGTTTTTTAGTTAAAATATTTCAGAATTAAATAAAATCCTATTAAAAGAATATTTCAATTCTAAATGGCATTTACTTGTAAGTTGTGTTTCAATAATAATTGTAGAATACCGTTTGATTTCAGTGTTGGAGTGTTCAAAAATGGACGTGTGGAAATCATTGCTAACGACCAGGGAAACCGTATCACACCCTCCTATGTAGCCTTCACCAGTGAAGGTGAGCGTCTCATTGGAGATGCTGCCAAGAATCAGCTGACCAGCAATCCTGAAAATACCATCTTTGATGTCAAGCGTATGATTGGTCGTACCTGGGATGACAAATCTGTGCAACATGACATCAAATTTTACCCATTCACCGTCATCAACAAGGGTAACAAACCACATGTCGATGTTGATACAGGTTCTGAAAGAAAAAGGTTTGCCCCTGAAGAAATCTCTGCTATGGTTCTTGGAAAAATGAAGGAAATTGCTGAAGGGTTCTTGGGCAAGACTGTCAACAATGCTGTCATCACTGTGCCAGCTTACTTCAATGATGCTCAGAGACAAGCCACAAAAGATGCTGGTACCATTGCAGGACTCAACGTCATGAGAATCATCAATGAGCCGTGAGTACTAAATACTAATTAAATTTTGAAAATTATGAACTTTATAAATTTTAAAGATTTTGTATTTTTCAAGAGTTCATCCTATGATAATGTAAATTCTTTCAATGTGCTGATTCCTTTCAATGTGTAACCTTGTCATATCTTTCTTTAACAGAACTGCAGCTGCGATTGCATATGGTCTTGATAAGAAGGAAGGAGAGAAGAATATCTTGGTGTTTGATCTTGGTGGTGGTACCTTCGATGTGTCCCTTCTGACCATTGACAATGGTGTGTTTGAGGTTGTTGCAACTAATGGAGATACTCACTTGGGAGGAGAGGACTTTGATCAACGTGTCATGGAGCATTTCATCAAACTTCACAAGAAGAAGAAGGGCAAGGACATCAGAAAGGACAACCGAGCCGTACAGAAACTGCGTCGTGAGGTGGAAAAGGCCAAGAGAGCACTCTCATCCCAGCATCAGACCAGAATTGAAATTGAATCTCTGTTTGATGGAGAAGACTTCTCTGAGACTCTCACCAGAGCTAAGTTTGAGGAACTGAACATGGTAAGAGACTTCCAACAAGTATTGATTTTAAGAAATATTTCAAAAGAAATCATTGAAATGTCAATGGTTTTGAATAAGAATTAGTAAAAAGTGATGTAAAATAAGGGAAGGAACCTGAAGTTTGCAAAATTCTTTAATTTGCAATATATTCAAAATATTTTTGGGACAGGTTTTTCATCTTAGTGGTTGAAAGAAGTTGAAAGAAAGCAGACATTGAATTTTGGTCGAATCTGAATTGAAATGTTAAATTTTGCAGGATCTTTTCCGTTCAACAATGAAACCAGTACAGAAAGTTATGGAAGATGCTGATCTTAGAAAGAATGAGATTGCCGAAATTGTGTTAGTTGGAGGATCTACCAGAATCCCAAAAGTCCAGCAACTTGTCAAGGATTACTTTGATGGAAAGGTTTGTAATTTTGAACCTATAACTAGCCACAAAACTTTTTTGGGTCAACATAAAGATTTAAGTGAAAGCTGGGTGCAAGCTTTCAGATGAAAATAAAAGTTGAATTATCAACCAAATTTTCATAAAAGTGGCAGTTCATTAAGAGGTATCTATTTTTGGCATTGTCTTTAAAGTGGATCTGTTCATTGCATCCTTCCAACGAATGAAATTTATTGCCCATATCTTAATTTGAAATTTAGTGTAAATAAATGATAATGAGTATGTCTGATTTGAGGATCAGAACTTTCAGACTATCGGGTTCAAATCTCTGAAAACTCTAATCAATTTTATATATATTTCAACTGTTCTTTTGTAACTTCCCTAGGAACCAAACCGAGGTGTCAACCCAGATGAGGCTGTTGCTTATGGTGCTGCTGTTCAGGCTGGAGTGCTCAGTGGAGAAGAGGATACTGGAGATCTGCTTTTGCTCGATGTCAATCCCCTTACCATGGGAATCGAAACAGTGGGAGGAGTAATGACCAAGTTGATCCCTCGCAACACTGTCATCCCAACAAAGAAATCACAGATTTTCTCCACAGCTGCCGATAACCAGCCAACTGTCACTATTCAGGTATTTGAAGGGGAGCGACCCATGACTAAGGACAACCATTTGCTTGGAAAATTTGATTTGACCGGAATCCCACCTGCACCCCGTGGTGTACCCCAGATTGAAGTCACATTCGAGATTGATGTCAACGGTATCCTGAAGGTAACTGCTGAAGACAAGGGCACTGGAAGCAAGAACCAGATAACAATTCAGAATGACAATGATCGTTTGTCACCTGAAGACATTGAACGCATGATCAATGATGCCGAGAAATTTGCTGATGAAGACAAGAAAGTTAAAGAGAAGGTTGACGCCAAGAACGAGCTGGAGAGCTACGCTTATTCACTGAAAACACAGATTGGAGACAAAGAAAAATTAGGTGGTAAATTAAGTGATGAAGACAAAACAACAATTGAAGAAGCTGTTGAAGAAAAAATCAAGTGGTTGGACAGTAATGCAGATGCTGATACTGAAGAGTTTAAAGCACAAAAGAAAGAATTAGAGGAAGTTGTTACACCTATTATGAGTAAACTTTATCAGGGAGCTGGTGGTGCTCCACCCCCAGAGGGAGAGGAAGGAGAGGATCATGACGAATTATAAAACTTGTGGAACCTAGATTTAAATTATTAATCATTTATATTGGTTGTCTCTAAACAGGTATCAGTCTATTTTTGAACAGTTTAATAGAATTTTGATGGCTAAGTTTTTGATTAGTAAACAATTCAGAATTTAAATGTATGTTGGAGCAGTTTCACTGTTCCAGAAAGAAACTTCACCATTTTTCTATCTCCTGAGTTGAAATTGAATTACATATTTTGAAGTTAATTGCAAATTTTATTTCTTTGCATAAAAATGCAAATTTCTCAATCATCAGACATTCATCCATTTTGTATTGTAAATCCATTTCATTCTCTGTAAAAAGAGCAAAGTATAACTATATGTCAGAATGCTGAATGCATGGGAAGTGCTTTTATTTGAATGTTTGGGTATAATTGTTAGCTCTGGAAGTACCAGTGTGATATTTTTGTGGTATGATTTGTGTATTAAGGTGACTGTGATCATTTAATGACATTTATAATGTGGATGGCAACTTTATCATCCATATTATGTTCTTGGTTCACTTTAGAACTTGAGAGCAGCTTTTGTTTTGTTTCTCTTAATTTTTGAAGAATTATTGTTCAGCTCATGTTAAGGAACTTGGGGTTTTCAAGGTTTTTGACATGTTTTTGAATATTCAATACAAATGTAGTTCAAAATTGGACCATATCATTTTATGATGTACAACTTAAATACTTGGATATGAAAGAAGTGTGGGTGACTTATATTTATGTGTGAGAATGCAGTGGACTTAGTTTGAAAAAAAAAATGAAAGTTATACCTTCGTAGCATATATGAACAAGTTGTTGCATGGCTGAAATAGCATAGAGAGAAGGAATCAGATTGTCAACTTTCCTGGAAGTATTCTAAATACCTAAATTTTCAGTATTTTTGTTTTGTAAAAGTGCTGAAAATGTTATGAAATTTACAAGAATACACATTGAATTTTCAGGAAAGCTTTCAAGTTCGAATTAGGCAATGTTCCCAGTACATTTGACGTGTGAAATAGGAATATATGTTCAGCCAGAGTGTAGAGTAAACTGCTGAGTTTGGAGACATTGTATGTATGTTTGTACATAATGTGGTACATGATTATATGTAAGATTGGCTAAATACAAGATTTTTTGTAAGAAAAAAAATGTTTTATATTTTTTGTTATTTTTATTTTCCTTTGTGGATCTTCCACAAATTTCATGTAGGTTCCTCCTGGTCCCTGTTTGTGCTTTTTTGATTTTTAGATTGATTACGATGGGGGAAAAATATCCCAACAAAGTTAGTCTTGAACCTTATTTATCAAGTGTAAATTTTGACATTGGTAGGTTTTCTACATTATATATATATATATATTAGAGGAAAGCTCATTTGAATCAAGACTTATTTAGGGTAGAAGATTATTAGAAATCTAGTATGTGACCGATACATTTAAAACTAGGTTGTACACAATTATGATAGCTTGAACGCAAATATGAGACATTTCACAAGAGGATGAGAACAAAAATGTTGGTTTTTGGGAATAAACAATCATGACATGCTGTTGGAATTGGTGATAACAGCAAATTATCTGATAGAATTGCGACTTGTGAACTTAACTTTTCATGTGGTCAGAGGCTATTCTGTATTTGATATAAAACTGACTTCTTTTTCTTCTCTGAGTCAACATTCACCACTTCAGTTTTTTCATATAATGATAACTTTTCTAGACTTAAAGAGATACTAAAAGTGGTATTCCAACATGTCCGCAAAACTCAGTAATTCTAAATACACCGTTACTAACTTGAGGACAAATTAAGAATCCAAACATTTACACGGAGAGTATTGAAAAAAAGTAGTTCAGATCCTTCAGAATGGCTAGCAATTTGGCTACATGTAGGCCATTCCTCTATATATGGCGCTCTCAAAATGAGGACACGGACATCTCTTCCCACATTGCAGAAGGCAATGAAATATTCCCCAATCAGGTGATATGAATTGTATTTGAGAATCGACTTTTACGAAAATTTTGATTGAGGAATTAAGAAACACTTTGAACTTGCTGTGGCACGGTTCAGACATTCTTTTGAATCATCTAATACTTAAAATAAGATGTGAACTGATATTTGTGCCCGCCAAATCTTTGTTTTTCGTTGTTCCTTGGATATTTCAATACTTTTATTTCTTATCACAATGTCGATCCTATTTTACGAAATATTTCACCAGAAAGCAACCAACTACATTTCCATCTTTGCCATACTAGCGCACAACAGAGCATAAACATTAATGCAGCCCTGAAAACATTATGGATAGAGCCCTGAAATCCCCGAAAGTTTTAAAATAGATGTACTCGCGTCAGTGATGGAAGGGAGACAACTGGGGTTGTCTTATCTTGTCTTTGCTTCACTATCGCACTAAAATTGGATCTTTGATGAAGCATTATGGCAATAAATCGTATCAATCAAACATGCACCAGATGACTTTGACTTCTGATTCTATGCAATTATATATATATAAATAACATAAAAATAGATATAAACAAGAAGGTGGCCGTAGTATTAATTAGTCACAGGGATTTGACAGAAATTCCCGTGCCAAATCTCTGTAATTACAATTGTAACTTATATGAAAATAAAATGACTTTATTAAAAAGAAGTTGAGAAATTTCATCATCTTGTTTAGATTATCTAAAGGATATCAATAATGTTTATGATTGAAATTTTAATACATTTTTTTGTGTTACGAAGAAGTTCTCCGTTCTTATTTGTTACGCAATAAAGTTCAATGTAAATTATCCATGGTCCCATCACTTTCGCTCGCAGCACCCCAGGAACATCTCACGGTCCAAAACAAAACCAAATTTATAATATTCTGAAATTGTTATCTCGTCATCAGTGTACACATATTGGACTTGGGCATAAACAAAGCACAGGGACAGGTGTAGTCTTACATATTAGAATTAGCAATAAATACGTGTAGTCTTACATATTATAATTAGCAATAAATACGTGTAGTCTTACATATTATAATTAGCAATAAATACGTGTAGTCTTACATATTAGAATTAGCAATAATTACCTATATGATTTTGTATATACATATACAGACTATATGCATAGGTATTTTTCACTATTTTACCATACAAGACTATATATGTCTCTGTGAAAAGAGTTACAATTCGAAACTTAATTACAATACGGTGATTAACGCAATTTTTCATAAGCCTGCAACCCAACCCTACAATAATGATATTATACATTAAAAGCATATCGTCTTACCTTACTGAACTCTTCTGACTAAATCCCGTTTATAAATGATGTTTCATATATGCCAGTTCGTCGAACAACTAAAGGGAGATAATCCTATCAGGCAAACCAAGCTCTATCTGACGCAATAACTGAAGAATTGAGAACACACAATAAAGCAACGTGTACTTACTGTATTGGATGTGTCCAGACAATGGCTATCCAAAACAGCGAGAGCAATTCGATAAACACGTGAATATATACATATTCATGAAATATATCACCTATGGAGGCACGCCCACTTGTTTCATCTGAAACAACAAAGTCCAATTTCATCATTTTCGAACGATTTAGCCAATCAAGTAGTCACCCATTTCCCTAATATATTATCCAAAGAGTAAGTGACACGACACAGACAGCTATATTCATTCTGGGGTAACAGTGTTTAAATAGGGTAATTATCTGGTTTGGATTTATACCCTTCTAAACCGAGATTTACGAATCACACAAGAACGTTTGAAGAATACATCACATGATTATCTCTCATTTGCGGAATAATTGAACAAACTTCGGACACCAGAAAATAACTATTCGCAGTTTTGCAGACTATATATTAGACCAACTTTGGCCAAAGTGACAAAACAAGTTGATTAAGCCTGACTACCGTTCATCAGCACGAGGTAAGAATAAAAACAAAAAGATAATTTTTCTCGGCATTAGATAAATAATGACTTGTAAAGTTTTTTTGTGTATAGGAACTAAAATCGAATACCACTGAAAATAACCTGTAACCTATTCACAAATCCTTACCTTTTGTAGAAAATGAGAATATTACATCAGCGAAAGTTTGGAAATCACTACCACAAACCCGAAGTGGATTCATTTTTCTATACTTACTTTGTACATTGTTTCGCTACCCACAGATAATGAAAACGATGGAGAACGCAGTCTTGTATATCGGGCTTGCGATGTTAATAGCTGTATCATATGGTGCGAAAACGGACAACATGGGCACTGTGATTGGAATCGACCTCGGGACCACATACTCATGGTATGTTCAAATTTGTACATTTACCCGATAAACATATAACGATTATATTCTTGTTAAATATTAACGATGAAGTATGAGGTATTTATCCTAAAAAACGTCACTTTCCATTGCACTGAGACAAGGAACTTTTTTACTTCGCATATGTAAAACAAAGATACATAAGCGCTGAAGCACTATTTTTGCGACAAATATGATAAATGAACTAAAATGACAGGAATGACAGAGGGAAAAAACAACACATATACACTTATCACAGATAGATAACAGAAAATTAAAACATCTAATAAGGACATCACTATATATTATAGACACTGATATTTGAAATACTAAGGTAAAAAAAAAAATAAATATGATAGTGAACACATGTATATCATACCTCTGTTGCTGAGTGCATGTATGCTAAAAGTAAGATTGACAAAATATACACTATCATAGATTAATATAAAGAAGACAAGGACCGAATCGGACAAATATAATGTTATAATGGCAATTAGAAATATGGTTTAGAAATATGATTGCTGATTATCTATTGATAAGATGGATAAATTTGTTTATTAATTTTTATAGGTAAATAGGTAAACTAAATGAACATATTATGATTAGGATGTAGAACAAAAATACACGAGAAAGTGAAAGCAGAAAGGCACCCAAAAGGCATGTTTAAGCAAATGTTTACATAATTTACCATCACCAGCCTTGTAAACTCTGGTTAATCATCCACCATCCTCTTATAGTTTGACTTGAGGTCATTCCCGGTTTGGTAGCTCCAGGTGTCTTTCACTACTGAGGGTGTAGAAAAAGAACATTTCTGAGTTAAAACGTTACATATAAAATAATAGTTAGGAGCTACATTAGTAAAAAATTAAAAAGCTTCACATTAACTGTTTTTCATTCTATTTACATGGACAAAAGAGAGATGATTTTTCCTTTCATTACTAAATCGGCGTTTGATCTAAGTTCGTAGGCTGGGTGGTTCTGTATTTTTTTTACATTGTTCACATTTGGGAATGTGACGTCATCTACTTAGATTAACCAAGACTATCACGATATGTGTCGTTGATGAAGCAGTAAACGCTTACTCTTCTGGAACGGCCGTTCTTATTTTCCTTCTACATTCATAGAGAGTCTCCGTGTAAATCTTCCATCGTTCAGTTTTTTCGTTGGTCTCATCGAATTTGAGTTTAAATTAAGACTCTGTTGACATACAGGTCATTTCAATCTTGTTATTATTGGCGAGATGAGCATGTTGTTTATAATTTTGCTTTTTCCTGATTGTTTGGTTTAACGTGAAAAAAGAGAGGGACATATCTAAAAATAATTTCTTTCATCAGTTTCTTCAACATGGTGTTTTTCTGGATTTTTTTTCCAAAGAAATTACACTATTTGATGTCTATTCTCAGTGTTGGAGTGTTTAAAAATGGACGTGTGGAAATCATTGCTAACGACCAAGGAAACCGTATCACACCCTCCTATGTAGCCTTCACCAGTGAAGGCGAGCGTCTTATTGGAGATGCTGCCAAGAATCAGCTGACCAGCAATCCTGAAAATACCATCTTTGATGTCAAGCGTATGATTGGTCGTACCTGGGATGACAAATCTGTGCAAAGCGATATAAAGTCATATCCATTTAAAGTGAGTACTCTTAATTTACCGGTCCTTTTGATATATATCAAACTCGCCAAAAGATAATTATTGTTTGACAAGACTAACAAGTCATTTAATACGGACAAAATTGTTATAAGCAATCACCATGAAACCTCCTGCAGTCATTGTTTATAATTTGCCTCGATGTTCTGATGACATTTAAAAGTTTGATATATAACATTAACATTTAGCATAAATATTTCACAAATCGCTTTTGTTTCCAGGTCAT